ATTATAGTGTAAGAAATTTTGACATCTAGATCTCTGACGCAATGCCGAAAACGCTCAGATATGTTCTTAACATACGGAACATTAAAATATGAGATCCTCACTCTTTCATTAACATCATGACACACATTCGAATTTACAGTCAAAGCGTCATTAAGTCTATTGTTAAATCTAGGTAATAAAATATTAAGTCGGTCAGCAATCGCCAAGTCCAACGGTATATTCGTGAATAATGAGATAACGTCCAATGAGATCAGTTTTACGTTGTCATCGATACGTTTACCATTTAGTCTATCCACTACTTGAGTACTGTTAATAATTTGACTGTCTGGTCGTGGAATAGATTTATAAATGATATCATGTAAAAACTTAGCGAGACCATAGAGTGGTGTGTTCTTAGATGAGACTAGATGATGACTTAGATGAGACTTTTATTTTAGATACGTCGATGACGTTGTGTTGGCGGCTCCCTCCTCAATGCTCAGTACCATTCAGGACACTTTCAACTCGTTCCACACAAGGCTGCAGTTTACTATGGAGGAGGGTGCCGACAACCGTTTGAATTTCCTTGACGTCACTATCATTTTAGAAGATGGACTGATTCATTTTAACTGGTTTCACAAATCGACTTTCTCGGGGAGATACCTCCATTTTGAATCGCGACACCCCCTTTGCCAGAAGAGGGGTACGATAATTGGTCTAACTGATAAAGTTTTCTGGCTTTCTCATCCAAAATTTCATAAAGAGAATTTTGAATTTGTTATCAACATCCTGTTGAACAATGGGTATCCTCTCTCTTTTATTTTCCATACAATTGCTGACCGACTTAATATTTTATTACCTAGATTTAACAATAGACTTAATGACGCTTTGACTGTAAATTCGAATGTGTGTGATGATGTTAATGAAAGAGTGAGGATCTCATATTTTAATGTTCCGTATGTTAAGAACATATCTGAGCGTTTTCGGCATTGCGTCAGAGATCTAGATGTCAAAATTTCTTACACTGGAATAAATAATTTGCGCCGGCAATTTATTAAAGTCGGCAAAGATAATTTGGAGAAAGACTCGCGCAGCAACATAGCATATAAGATCAATTGCATAGATTGCGACGCTTCTTACGTGGAACAAACGGGACGCTTATTAAGGACGAGGATTAAGGAACATAAAAGGAATCTTACGTCCGTCATTGCCGAGCACAGAGCGTTAGATCATACGTTTAATTTTGATGGCATTGAGGTTTTGGATGAGGAAACTTTTTTGGGAAAGAGATTAATATCGGAGATGATCTATATTAAGCGTCAAAGAAATGCGTTGAATCTCCACAGCGATACGTCAAAATTGAATACTTCATGTTTATCGATAATCGAAAACATATCTAAAATTTAATCGTTTGTTGGGACTGTTCTTGTCCTCAGTGTATACTTGGATTGTTTTTGTCGATCACATTTTGACGTCATTTTATCGTTAGCATTCGAATCTTTTTGCCTAGTCGACCATGTGCGCGCTGAGTGTTCGTGTCCGTTTCTGTTTCGTCTTTTCGAGTGGGAGTGAGTTGCCTTTGTCTAATTATAATTATTGCAAGGCTTTGCATCTATATCTTGTACATTTATTTTGTTAGTGCATTGCTCTTTGCGCCTTGCAACGCTCAAAGGACTGCTTGCATCTGGCTTCCTTCGGGTTGATTTGCATTGACGGATCCACGTTCGCTCTCTAAGACTATACATGTATGATCACTAATTTTTTTTTCTCTCTTTTCTATTAAGAACTGTGTTTTCATTGTTATTTTATTTAATTCTTTTTTATCTTATCAGAATCACTGAAGAAGGCTCGAACTGAGTCCGAAACGTTATAAAGAAGAAAGATCGTCTAATGTGATCGTTTTCATGGATTACTTTTTTCTCCAAAAAACACGCCTTACAACTGCGTTGGCTCTTTATGGCCTTTTACTATATTTTATTTTAATTTGTTAACATAAGTTAATAAAATAAAAATAAAAATACATTATGGCGTGATAATTTTTTTAATTTATATTATTTATTTTATAATATATGCACTATTATTTTGACCGCAACTGTAAGTAAACATTAATTAGAATCCAAACACGAATTTGACTGGACAAACCTAATATATTACACAATGAGAAATAGGTGCAAAAAAGAGAAATTACTGAAATGTTTTATATTAAAAAATTCAATATATCAATCAACCTATAGAAGTACACGGAGAGCTTAAATAACATCTATGACAAAGTAATAAAGGTCATGTAGTTTGTTATTATTTTTTGATTTAACATATTCAGTTTTTGACGAAGTCTCACACTGACACAACGTTTCACCTCTCTTTTTTAAATGTGGCAAGACGTAATGATCTTGCAACTGTGATATGTGGAGTTTACAAAATTAAGATTTATATATATTGTTATACTCTACTTTTTGAACTATATGTACTCAAATTGTTCACAGTTAATCTATGTGGTGCTGTCTATTCAAACCATTGAAAATTTAATTATTAATTTTATTATTCCAGTGTATACTTGAAAAGGATCACAACCATATGATCTCTAACATCATAATAAATTTTTTAAATAAATAAACAAGAATTTTGGCTAGTTTTGGTCGATTATATTTGTGCGCACCCGGTTTATGGGCGTTCAGGCTGGGTTCGCCTTGTAAGAAGGCTCGGTGGTCAAGGCGGTAAAAATCGTAGATCGGCTAGGTGATGAAAGAATAACGCTCTAGGCTTGGAAACGATAACTATGAAGTTTTATTAAGTCAGCACTTAAAGCGAGACGAGCGGTAATCGACAACGTGTGAGGATAATTCGCGATGCGATTGCTTTGATGACCGTTCTGAGAATAAGAGTCTTTCAATAAATTCGGCCACGAAGGCAGGCAGAAAACGCGGAGTCAGCTGATTGGCTATTCGAGTCTTAAATTCGACTATTGACAATGCGAAGAGTATGGGAAGAAAAACAATGATAGACAGCATCGAACTCTTGATGTTTACGACGATGTATTTGCTTAATGATAGCGCGATGGTTTCATCGATCGAGCGAGTTTCAATTAAAGTATGATTGAGACCATGAAATATTACTGAGATATTTAGAGCTTTCGCGCTAACACGCTATTCCGGAACATACCGCCCGCCTCGAATGTTTACATTCGACGATCAAAGTGAACGCCTGATCATGAGTACATTAGAGTTTTGATAACATAATTTTCACTGACAGTTACAACATTTAAATTTTACACGAATGACAAAGTTTATGTATATATATACAGATATAGCCGGTTTTGCTCCGGGATATTGTACGCATTATGAGAGTGGGCCGCCCACCTTGCGCGTTTCTCGTTCGGTTACGATGTTAATATCAATCGGGAGAAAGCAAAGCTTTACAATAGGTCGCTTATATTCCGAATTCGCGGTTTTAACGGTAACGACGCGCGTAAGTCCATCATCACCGGGACAGGCTGTAATGCGACCGAGTTCCCACTGACTTGGTGGAGCGAGATTATTACGCAACAGAACAATTTGACCGATCTTGGCCAGTTTTTGAACGACACGCCACTTTGGTCGTTGTTGGAGGGTATGCAAGTAATCGCTCGTCCAAAACTTCCAAAAAACCTCGGTTATTCGCTGTACAAGTTGCCAGCGCGACAATCGATTCTCTGACAACTGGAGAACGCTAGGTTCTGGTATCGCGTCGACCTCGCGGCCCAAATGTACAACCAAATGTACAGGAGGGTACGCGAGGTCCGTGAGATGGGGGTGCCAATAACCGGTAGGGTCCGTCGCATAATTAAGGACCAGGCTCGACGGTCGCTTCTCCAGCGGTGGCAGCAGTCACTGCTGGACCCGCAAACTGCGGGAAAACGGACCGTCGAGGCCATAGGACCCCGTCTACCAGATTGGATGGACGGGGTTCGACGAGAGGGTATATCCTACCGGATGACACAGGTGCTCACCAGACATGGCTGTTTCGGTGAGTACCTGTGCAGGATAGGGAAAGAGCGCACCGAAAGGTGCCACCACTGCGCCTGTCCGCGAGACTCGGCGCAGCACACGCTGGAGATCTGTCCAGCGTGGGCGGCCGAGCGCGCGGACCTGATAGCCGAGGTCGGCCAGGACCTCACCCTCTCGGCCGTAATAACGGCCATGACCGAGAGGATTGAGGCATGGAGGGCCGTGTCCTCCTTCTGTGGCAAGGTTATGGCCCGGAAGGAGGACGCGGAAAGAGTCCGGCGAGGCGAGGGTGGCCGCCATAGAGCCACCCAACACCCGCCGCGAGACGGAGGAGCTATGCCTCCGCCCACGGGGGCTCCTCCCCTACGTAGGGGGAGGCGCCACAGCCCCCACCCTCCCATCCCACGTACTGGAGTGGGATGACCTTGCCTGGGGCGGGGGGTTGACACCACTGATTGATCCCCTGCCCATTCGCCGAGGAGAGACGGGGGTACCGCCAAAGGGAGCCATTATTCAGCTCCCAAAGGCGGCACCCGCCACACCGGCGAGAGGCTCCCCTCAGAAGGTGTTACCACCAAAGGTACATCTTCGAGGGGATGATAGATGAACTCCGGACAAAACCCGTCCGGGGTTCGGGGGGCCAGGGTCCGAGCGGGAGACTCCGACCCTGGTCCCGCCCCCTCGAACACCACGAGGGGGCGCGGTTCCGAGGAGGTGCCCCTTGGAACCGCACATGGAGTAAGGCCGCCATCCAAAAGCGGCGCGTGCGGCACTCCCCACCTCTAGGGGAGTGCCCACAGGCGACAGTCGGGTGGTAGGGGGAGGATGTCCGGACGAATGCCTACGGCACTTCCCGGTCCTCCCCCATATACCCGAGAGGCACCCGGTGGGGTTTTAGTGGGTATACCTGTTAGGGTGCGTTCGGATTCCCCACCCGATGGGTGAGCGTTGGGTGACTGGGAGATGGGCGGAGCAAGAGCTGAGTGTTCCATGAAGCTATGGAATCGGAACGGTAACCGAATGGAAATATAAACAAATATGGAAGTTAATAGACAACGATTAATTGTTGCAGCTGTAGTGCTAGGAGATAATTTACTTAGATCAATTGTAATATTTGATAGTGATTCTGACAGTAGCGATAGTGATACTGATGAAGATGATTTACAATTATGGAGAAAAATGATTCTACGCGGCAGATCGCATAAACCTTTGAGATTGGAAGGTTATGTCGAACGTATAATTCCTCTACTCACAAAGGATCAATTTAGAAAACATTTTAGAATGATTCCAAACGTTTTTGAAAATCTTGAAGCATTACTTGATCCAGTATTATCAGTTACAAATGGAAAAGCAGTGATTCTAGTTAGAAAGCAACTATTAGCAACATTGTGGCTATTAGCTACTCCTGACTCATATCGGTATGTTATTACAAGTAAAATTGATATTTGCGGATATATTTACTGCTATTTGTGGATATACTCTTATTGAAAATATGATATAATTTTTCTTTCGTCTAGTTCTGTCGGTGAAAGATTTGATATAGCAAAGAGCTCTCTCAGTTACAGCTTTATGAGAGTTATTGAAGCTATAAATGACATTGCAGGCCAGTTTATCAAATGGCCAAGAGGTCAATATCTACAAGAAGTAAAAACAGGTTTCAGTAAAAACATTGCATTGTGTGGTATTATTGGTGCTATTGATGGCACTCATATTTTGATAAAACAATCCAGGGTATAATATAATTAGCTACAATCATGATGATTATATATGAACAAATATAAAAATATATAACTTGTTTTTTTCCTTATATGTTTTTCTTTATGTATATTTTAGAGAGATGCCCAGTTCTACAAAACTTATAAAAAGACGTATGCAATCACACTTCAAGCTGTTTGTGATGATTGCTTACGTTTTACAGATTGTTTTGCTGGCTATCCTGGCTCAGTTGGTGACTTGAGAATCTTACGAAATTCAGACCTTTGGAGAGAAATTCAGATCGACAAACAAAATTACTTCCCTGAAGATGAATTTATCATTGGCGACAAAGCTTATCCAGTAAGCTGGTGTATTCCTCCATACATAGATCGTGGTCAATTAATTAATGTAAGTTTACAATTAAAATATTTTATATGCTATTTTTTATATTAAAATGAAAGCAGTAACTATTGTTATTTTAGATATTTAAGTAGAGATTTGGGTTTTTTATAGGCTCAAAAGAAGTTTAATCACGAGATCTCTGCTAAAAGATCCGTTATTGAAAGAGCATTTGCGTTATTGAAGGGCAGATTCAGGAGATTGAAATATCTTGATATGAATGTTGATGAGATGATACCTTATGTAATCATTGCATGTACAGTATTGCATAACATTTGTTTGAAGGGTGTTGATGATAATGTAGAAGATTTAATAGAAGAAGGAGCTGAAGTGATCGATGAAGATATTTATGATGTAGGTATAGCTAATGAAGTAGCAGGAGAGATAAAGCGTGACTATCTGTGCAATCTTGTAGCTGGTGTATAGACTTATAAGTAATATCTATTGTCAGCTGAAAGCTTTAATTTATTATTCAAATATAGATTCTATTTTTATAATTGCATTTATGAAAAAATAAAACAGTTATGAAAAACATTCATTTTATTGTTTTTTTGTTACAACTTACATCTAATAAAATCCAGTAAAATAAAAATGCTTACAAACATATTGAACAGCTCTAAAGCTAAATGTTAGAAATTCGAACAGAATTTCACTTGTAATAAAAAAAAACAGATTTTCACTTGTAATAAAAATAAAATATTAAAATATATATACATGTTTTCATTATAGTTTTATCTTTGTGATGCTTTTTTTAAATTACTGACTCATCAATAATAACAAAAATATTTAAAGAATAAAGTTAAAGAGCAGGCTGTAACTTATGCTGGAATCGACAAAGTAGAAATTGCACACAAGAATTCAAGAGAACTGCTATTATATATATATATATATATATATATATATATATATATATACTATATATATATATACATGAAAATGTAAAGATAAAGAGGAGAATATGATAACAGCTAAATTAATTAAAGAAAATCCTCTTTGGGAGCACACTAAAAGTAATGTAAAAATAAAAGAAAAGGCATGAAAAAAAGTATTGATCTTTATCAGTTCCAACATAAATTATATCGGTTACAGACTGCATAAATTAAGAATCACAATATAACTTACGTTTAAGTAACACATAAGTAACATAACATTAATAAACAAAATGGCATTAATCCAACATTAACTAAAAATATTAATTTCAACACATTACTTACAAAAAAATAAAAATAATAAAATGTAAGACTTACATTTCTATTCTAGAGTTGAAATCACAGTAAAGGTAATTGCGAACTTAAAAATAATCAAAATTTGTGCAATAATTTATTCATGACACTTTCATACATCTTAATCGCTTCAGCTTGGTGTCGCATTCTTTCTTCATGTCGCCTTTCCTTAGCTTGTTCTCGTACAGTAGCTGCTTCTTGCTGTAGAAGTGCCCACTTTTCCAGCTCTTTGCTAACTTTACTTTTCTTCTTAGGTTTCTCAGTCTTTTTATTAGTCTTATTTTCTGTAAAATTTTCAATGTTTTCCCTCTCTTCTTCATCTTCAGATGAGAGAAATGCACAAGGTGAACGTTTGTGCTTCTTCAAATTAGAAGCGATAGCTACTGGTTTGATTATAGGTTTTTCACCAAATACTGCGTCCATTTCTTCATAAAATTTGCATGTCTGTAAATCTTGTCCACTCTTGTTTACGTTATTGTCTCTAGTTTTAGTATACATTTTTCTGACATCTTTAAACTTATTTTCACACTGCTTTCCAGTGTACTCCCAAAGAGGATTCTCCTCAATTAATTTTGCTGCGATCATATTCCAAACTTTATCATTTGTAATAGTAGTACTCTTGAATTTGTCCTCGTGCAACTTCCATTGGCTTATAAGTGCTTTGACAGCATTCTCGTCTTTCCATGAAGCTTGTTGCTTACTTGAACCTTTAATTAATAAAAAATATTGTAGAAATAGAAGAAATCATAAAAAAAGATTTAATAATTATATAATTTCTGTATATAATACCTGTAATTTTGACTTCTACGTGACATTCATTGTCATGCGCTTTTTCTCGCATTGTTATATTAAAGTGCTTACGCACATTTTTTTCATCTGGGAGGTCAATTATTGTCTGGGCTGAAATGAGAAAAAATCAACTAATGAGAAAAATTAACTTATTTTTAGTGCTCTGCTTTGTTTAACAAAAAGTAATTGACTCGCTTCAACAAATATATTTATAAATACAATTACAAATATATATCAATAAATATATTATAAATACATGACATTTAATTACATATTTTTAATATTGGTAATGCGATAAACATATTTTGTAAAATACAAATAATAGTGATGCTGGCTTCTGCCATAACCTTAATTAGTATATAATTATTACACAAAATATATTTAGCAATATTTATTACCTTTGAGATCAAACGCCATCAATCTACCATCTTGCACAATAACTTCTCCGGCTTCATTTGTACATAATTTTATATTGTTAAAATCCATATTAAAAACTTTGTTTTACGTTAGGTAAAATAGTAGAATTTAGCGCTCTTTAGTCTCTCTCACCCAACCACCCGGCTCTCGGAGCCGGGTGAGTTAGAAGTTCTTCCAAGTGCTCTCTAGTGGGAATCCGAACGCTACTGCTAGTTACTTCTGGGAAGGTTCGGAAGGAATCCGAACGGTTTTTGGGTGCCTGGGAGCACTCAGGTGGGGAATCCGAACGCACCCTTAAATAGGGGAGTCCCACATAACTCGCGGTTCCTTCCCCGAGGGCCACGGGTATGCATCAAGCATTTCCCCACCGATATCAAAAAAAAAAAAAAAAAAAAGGTTCTGGTATCGCGACAAGATTATCGCCGATCAAAAAATGACCGGGCGTCAATGCGCGATAATCATCGAGACAATCGGAGGTGACGGCGATTGGTCGTGAATTTAGGCACGCCTCGATACGACACAATAGCGTATTCATCTCTTCATATGTAAGCGTATGAGCTCCAATACATCGTTTTAGATGATGTTTAACGCTGCGCACTCCTGCCTCCCATAACCCACCGAAATGTGGCGCTGACGGGGGAAGGAAATGCCACGCTACGCGATCGATCGATAGTTTGTTTGTAACGGTGCACTCCGATGTACCGTTCCGAATTCCCGGCAACAACATCGCCGGAAGCTGCCGCCCGGTAGAACACCCGCCGGGCAGAGGCAGGGGCGCGGTGCGCCCACATTTTTAATACTTATTACAAACCGGGGCCGTTGTAAATTCAAAAACGGCCGAGAATTGCCGAGCGAAGCCGACGCGGCCCGACCGACCGACCGGCGAAAACCCGCGCTCGGCGCAAATCCCGAATCCCTCCGAACGGGCCCGATCGTACCGTACCGCAATTAACCCGTTCGGAAGGGGTAAACCGCCGCGCGCCGACGCGGGTAATTAGCCGGTATAAAAAGGCCGTGTTTCGGCTAAAACACACATTCTCCTGTTCCGCTCTAAGCTGTACGCTCAAGAGAATTTACCAGATACCTGAAAACCGGCACTACCGCCCCGATCAATTAGGTTGAGCGTGCTCAGCCTAAGCCGAGAGTTCTCGTTATCGCGCGGGGTACTGCCTCCATCCGCTCCTCCACATCCCGGCTGGCAAAACCCACGGAAGGTGGAGTTCAGAGCCGCCCCGATCGAGAGTTCTCGAGGCCAGCTGTGCTCACACGCGATTCCAACTTATCCGCGCGATATTTTAATTCGCGGAGACCGCATATTATTTCGCGAAAATAACGCATCGTTTCTCGGAATCCACCGGCTTTTTCATTGTACACGGATTCCCGGAACGACGGGATTCCCCGTGCAAGAAACGCGACAAAAACACCGTCACAACAACGCGAGGTCTTCGACCGATACCGAGCGCATATCCGCACGCGCCAAAACAACGTTTTTATACACGCGTATTCTACCAGCGAATTATTGAACATACGCGCCACGATTATACCGGCGCATTCTGACTTGCATTCAGCACGCGTAATCAAACCATTTATCCATTCGAACACGCTCACCGTTATAATCGCAGCGAGATACACGAACGATTTGTATACACGCCTTAATTCAAATAAAAACTTTCTTTTCTTTTACATCACACATTCGCTCACCATTCATTACCCCGAATCCGACGAGTTTATCCGCAATCGAATCACAGGGAAAAACGGAACGTTACATGTTTAAGAAATTAGAATTGCGAACGGCCGCGTTATACGAAGCAACGAGTTCGCGATCAGCACCTTGGAAGGTGGTGCCGTTATCCGAATACATCGAGTTCAGAATTCCACAGCGCGATACAAAGCGATTGAAACAGGCGAGGAAGGCGTCTGAGCTATAGTCGCTTACCAGCTCTAAATGAATTGCTCGTGTTGTCATACATACGAACAACGCGATATAAGCTTTGTGAGCTTTATGGCCACGTCCAGGCGCGCTTCGCACGAGTATCGGTCCTGCGTAATCGACACCGGTATGTTCAAAAGCACGAACTGATTTGTTCACGCGAACATTAGGTAAATTTCTCATGAGCTCTTCCGCGACCTTGGCCTTTTCGCGAGCACACTTAATACACCGGTGCAAGACTGCTCGCACTATTGTCCGAGCTCGTAGGATCCAGAATTCGGTGCGAGAGTTAGATGAGGACCACCATGAAGTTTTATCATGGGCATGCGATATAATAAGCGACAACAATGGATGAGATTGTAGGACTATCGGATGTTTGGTAGATACAGGAAGGTCGGATTTCTCAAGTCGTCCTCCGACTCTAATCAGTCCGTCGACATCGAGGTATGGGTTAAGCGTGACTAGTACGCTTTTCCTTGACACACGTTTAATTTGCGTGAGCTGCGAAATCTCTTACGCGAATGTTTCGAATTGTATTGTTTTGAGCCAAAAGATTTTGGCGGCTTGCACTTCGTGCTGTAATAACGCGAGCGATGTATTATGTGAAGCGACTTTCTGTGATGCAGGTTTCAGACGATAGCGAAGATTAGTTATGAATCGAGATAGATATGCAGTCATTCGCAGAAGTTTGGACCATGAAGAGTAACGCGTGGCGAGATCCCAAGAATCCGTAACGCGCGGAATGCAAATATGTACAACAAGACGTTTCTCATTGCATAGATCGGATTCAGACATGATGGAGCATGAGCTCGGCCAATGTTGAGGGGATTGTTTAAGCCATGAAGGCCCAGACCACCAAAGAGCGCAACTCGCGAGAGTCTTCGGGTTCACACCGCGAGATGCACAATCGGCGGGATTGTCAGCTGTGGGGACATATCGCCAGACTGCTGTTGGTAGCAGAGTTTGAATTTCCGCAACCCGATTCGCGACAAATATTTTCCATTGTGAGGGCGTTTGTTTCAGCCACGTTAAGGTGATAGTTGAGTCAGTCCAACAGTGACACTGCAAATTTTGAAGTTGGAGGTTCGAACGAACAAATGACATTAAACGCGCGAGAAGTAACGCGCCGGAAAGTTCGAGACGCGGAACGCTCAATGTTTTGATCGGTGCGACTTTCGATTTAGCGACAAGAAGCGAAACTGTAGCGGGTCAGTTTATCGGTACAATGCGAATATACACGATGGCTGCGTATGCCTTTGTTGAGGCATCTGAAAACCCGTGCAACTCGCGGGAAGCGATACGAGATTCATAATTTGTCCACCGAGGAATCGATATCAATTCGAGCTGTGGTAATTGTTGGTGGTATTCACACCACTGATCGAGAAGGTCCGACGGCAGTGTGTCATCCCAATCACATTTCAGTAGCCATAAGCGCTGCATGAATATCTTCGCGGCAATTACTACGGGCGTTACCCAACCTAACAGGTCGAATAACCTCGCGATACACGAGAGAACCGCACGCTTAGTTTGTCCGGGAGATTCTAATGTCGTTATGCGAAACTGAAAGCTATCATCCTTTGGGTTTCACACGACACCAAGAATTTTTAGTGACTCATCAATTTGCAGTTCTTTGTTACACGCGAGACCATGATCATGAGGATCAATGTCCGATAACAAATCTGGACAGTTACTTGCCCATTTTCGTAAACTAAAGCCTCCCTTGTTTAAAAGTGAAATTAGCTCGTTTCGAATCTGGCGCGCGAGTTCTGGACTATCGGCTCCGAACGTACAATCGTCGACGTAAAGCAGACGATGTAAGACGGCAACTGCTAGCGGGAAGTTGGATCCCTCGATAATCAACTGCTTCAAGACGCGAAGCGCTTGGAACGGGGCTGACGCTGTGCCGTACGTGACAGTGAGCAAACGATATTCGACGACTGACTCGGAGGGCGTAGGACGCCACAGGATTTGTTGATAATCAACGTCTTGAAGATCTACTAAGATTTGCCGATACATTTTGGCAATGTCGGCTGTATAAACGTATCGGAATTGCCGTCATTGAAGGATAACCGCGATAAGGTCATGTTGCAATTTTGGACCGACCAACAGATGACCGTTTAGTGACGTACCGTTTGACGTGCGACACGATGCATTAAAGACGACACGGAGTTGAGTGGTAATGCTCGTTTCACGAAAGACTACATGATGCGGAATATGATAGATTTGCGAATGACTCGAGTCGATGTCAGGTGCTTTAATCATATGACCGAGATTCTCATATTCTTCAAGAAAATCGCGATATAAAGTAGCTTTGGTTGGATTGCGACGAAAGTGTTGTTCAGCGCGATATAGACTCGACAGCGCGGCGGAGCGCGATTCTCCGATCTCAATAGGAGGGTCGCTCTTGAACGGTAGTCGAACAACATATCTTCCCTCCGGCGTGCGATAGTGAGTGGCTGCGAAATGGTCCTCGCACTATTTTTCTTCGGGACTCAGAGACTGTTTGCGAGGTATTTCTTCGACCTCCCAAAAGCGACGCAGATCGACGTCTAATGTTTCGAGAAAGGATCCGTGGTGAACGAGCATGGAACTCGTATAACGAGGTTGAGATGATGAAGTGGGTCCGGATAATATCCACCCGAGAGTTGTGTGCTGCGCGATAGGCTCGGTATCGGTACCCCTACGGATACCGTCCAGCAAGAGCTGGCCGTAAAGGTCGGCTCCGATGATGACATCGATAGGGTCTGAGCTCATGGGGTCATCATCGGCGAGAGTTAAATCAGATGTATGCGTTCATTGGCACGACGAATTGATACGATTAGGTAAGTATTTCGACAATGAATTAATTATGTGAGCGATAGTGGAGTAGGCAGGATGATCACCGGCGGAGGGTGTTACGCGGATATGTGCCGTTAACGCGATACCGATTGCGATTCTCCTATTCCGGTGATACGCGTTATGCGCTTCACCTTTGCTAGGCGTAAGTACTGAGCGATGTTCGACGAGATTAACGTGGCGACGGAGCCTTGATCGAGTAATGCGCGAGCACGAACACAGCATCCGTGCGGCGAGTATATGCGAACGCGAGCGGTGGCCAAAAGTATTGTCGATCTCGGCATCATGATATTCGACATCAAATGTGATGCGACTTCGTTATTCGGTTTTACATCCTTTGATTCAACGATTGAGGCCGATTCCCCCTTGTTAGGCTTTGAATCATCCGTGAAATGGAGCAAAGTATGATGCCGTTGATGACAAGTCTTACATGACCGAACGCTTTTACAATTTTTCTGTGAATGTTTGCACCCAAGACAATTTATGCAACGATTTTCCTTTTTAATATAATCGTAGCGTTGCAATGGAGTATAGGCGGAGAAAGACTGAAATAACGAATGCGACGATTTATAGATCGGACACGATGGATTCGCAGTTGTGGCCGAATGAGAGGCGATCGATTTTGTTTTAGTCGATTTTTGCGAATTAGCCGTATTGTCGGATTTAGACGGCGCGATAACTTCAAGAGCGCGAATACGTGATTCTAGAAATTTATCTAACTCGGCGTACGGAGGATAATCGACGGTTTCGCCTAATCGCAATTCCCACGCTTTTCTGGAGGATTTATCTAATTTCTGAGAGATAAGGAACACTAAAATTTCGCTCCACCTATCGACAGGACAACCGAGGTTTTTGAGCGCTTGAATCGACATATTCGTTGTGTCACGCAACGTTTGAAGGTCTTTGAAGGTTTCGGACGAGACCGGCGACAGTGAGAACAAAGTTTGTAAATGGCCGTTGATCAAGCGGCACTTATTTTCATAACGCGACGTAAGAATGTCCCATGCGACAGCGAAATTAGCATCGGTAATCGCGAGATTATTGAGCGCGTTACTTGCATCGCCCGATAAACTTGAACATAAGTATTGCAGTCGATCGACATTCGTGAGATTGCGATTATCTATAATAATTGCTTTAAATCGATCGCGAAAGCTTTCCCAACGGTTGAAAGTTCCGTTGAAAGTCGGCAAGCTGATCCGCGAAAGTTGAGGCGATGGATTAGTAGACGAATCAGAGTTATGACTCACGGTTTGGTCTCCGGGTTTACCGGTGCTAGTGAGTTTAACGAGAGCCTCCGACAGGTAGTCCAGTGCTTCCTCGACAGCGTCTTCATAAGCGACGAAGTGGTTTTCTGAGACGTAGGTCTTCTTACCCTTGATGTCGACGTGCGAAAGAATTTTCGCGTCCAGATCCTGGCATAGCGAGAACTTCTTCTTCAAGAACGTAATTTTGCCCTGCACCACAGCATATGTCATCTTAGCTTGTCCCATTTTCTTGAAATTTGGTAGCGTACGTTGAATGGAATTCATTAACTGGTGTTGCTTTACCAGAAGCTCATCCAGTGATGTCATGGCGACCTGCCCTGTTTTCACTGCGATGACGACGACAGCCGATGCACAAACGACAATGCTCCTTGACTCCGAATCCGGCTCGAAGGACCAATAAATGTGCGCACCCGGTTTATGCGCGTTCAGACTGGGTTCGCCTTGTAAGAAGGCTCGGTGGTCAAGGCGGTAAAAATCGTAGATCGGTTAGGTGATCAAAGAATAACGCACTAGGCTTGTGGAAACGATAACTATGAAGTTTTATTAAGTCAGCACTTAAAGCGAGACGAGCGGTAATCGACAATGTGTGAGGATAATTCGCGATGCGATTGCTTCGATGACCATTCTGAGAATGAGAGTCTTTCAATAAATTCGGCCACGAAGGCAGGCAGAAAACGCGAAGTCAGCTGATTGGCTATTCGAGTCTTAAATTCGACTATTGACAATGCGGAGAGTATGGGAAGAAAAACAATGATAGACAGCATTGAACTCTTGATGTTTACGACGATGTATTTGCTTAATGATAGCGCGATGGTTTCACCGATCGAGCGAGTTTCAATTAAAGTATGATTGAGACCATGAAATATTACTGAGATATTTAGAGCTTTCGCGCTAACACGCTATTCCGGAACAATATTATTTCCAATGATCATTTATAATTAAATGTAAAAACATATAGGGTGTCCTATTTAAAAAGTTGGATATGATCTTCACGTAACCTTTAGGTGACTCTTTAATGTCAAACCAATGACCTTATGTCCCCCTTCAAGCCATACAACTTTTGTCTGAAACATTTTTTTGTAGCTGGCGTAGTTTAGGAGAAATTTGGATCCATCGATTAAAATGGGACCCCCTTTATACAGAGTGTCCTAGACCACCCGTCCACTCCTTTTCTTTCAAAAACTAAGCATTTTAGAGAAAAACGTATTCGACAAAAATTGTATGGTTTTGAGGGGAACATAAGATGGTGTCATTGGTTTGACCTTGGATGGCATCATTAAGATCAGGTCAAGGACATCTTTAATTTCTTAAATGGAACCACCTATTTTTTTATTGCATATTCTTATAGCTTATGTCGAGAGCTTTCCAAAACACTATAATAAAGTATTTTTTCATTGAGTGCTTTTCGATTTATAAGATTTAAAATAATATCTTAATTTTACATATACTATAAAATATCTAGTAAAACATTTATTTCTCGATTATCTTACCTTAATACTTTTATGTACAAAATAATGAAAGGAATCAATTGGTGTAAAAGAACACATAATTGTTCCGAAGAAAAAATATGTAATTTGCAATGAACAATTACATATTTTTTCTTAAAAACAACTGTTTTTTTTTACACTAATTGATTCCTCTCATTATTTTGTACATAAAAGTCTTAAGGTAAGATAATCAAAAAATAAATATTTTACTAGATTTTTTATAGTTTATGTAAAATTAAGATATTATTTTAAGCCTTATAAATCGAAAAGTACTCAATAAAAAAATATTTTATTACAGTGTTTTAGAAAGCTCTCGAGATAAGCTACAAGAATATGTAATGAGAAAATGTAGGTTCCATTTAAGAAATTGAAGGTGACCTTCATGTGACCTTCAAATAACTCTTCAAGGTCAAACCAATGGTACCATCTTATATCCTCCTAGAAACCATACAACTTTTGTCTGAAACATTTTTTTGATTTTTCATTATTTTCCGAAATATTTGGCTGGGGAAATTAAAATGGGCCACCCTGTATATCTGACAGATATTAGATTACGAGAAAGTACAGCTCACGTAGCGGTAAGTGAAGGAACTATCGATTCATGCAAACCCTGTTCCGTTTCTGCCGTTAATCTGCTATCAGAAATTGTGTGTGCAGATCCTGCTCGGTTTTTATTATCAATCTGCTGTCAAAATGGCGCCGCACAGATCCTGCTCGATTTCTGCCATCAATTATATCAACATGTGCCGTCAATTATATCAACAAGTTCTGCTCGATTCTATTGACGATCTGTTGTCCAGATCGTTATGTGAACAGATTTTGTTGTATGTCTGCTGACATGCTGGCAACATGATCGAATATATCAATTCCCTTATGCAAACTATAGTCTTTCTGCCTTTAAAATTTCTAATGGTTGACGAAAATCTGTTGTAACAGATTTGGCTATCTGGGTAATTACCATCTCAAAAATACTGCGTTAAATCGAAAAATGTTTCAAATATAAGTTATATGGCTTGAAGAGGGACATAAGATGGTTAAGTTAGGTTTGACCTAACCATTGATTTGACTTTGGATGGCGTTGTCAAGGTCAGGGCAAGATCACTTTGAATTTTTTAAATGGAACCCTCTATTTTTTATTACATATTCTCGTAGCTTACCTCGAGAGCTTTTCAAAACACTGTAATAAAGTATTTTTTCTTTAAGTACTTTTCGAGTTATAAAGCTTGAAATAATTTCTTAATTTTACATAAACTATAAAATATCTAATAAAATATTCATTTTTCGATTATCTTACCTTAATACTTTTATGCACAAAATAATGAGGAATCGATTGGAAAAAACACAATTGTTTCGGAGAAAAAAAATATGTAATTTGTAATTAACAATTACATATTTTTTCTCAAAAACAACTATGTTTTTTCTTTGCATCAATTGATTCCTCACATTATTTTAGCCAAAAAAGATAGGGATGTATGTAGGAGGAGGTCAGACGTGTCTATACGTCTATTTGGTCAACGAACGATAGAATCCATCCATGGCAACGGCATTAACGCATATCCTGTGGAGAGAGCATTCACACACTTTTCAGCTCAACGAATAATTGTTGCAGAAAACAATATTCGCGGACTAGAAAAATATATGAGGTGCAAGTGACTGGATCGGGAATCGAATCCGAGTCTTTCCTGGTAACTGCTCTAGATCACTGAGCTATCCAGACTTTACATCTAATGCTGCTTTTTAATACAGCGACTCCAGAGCGATGTTGATATCTCGCTCGATGGATGCAATGCCGATTGCCATGGAAGATCCTTGATAGGTCGTTCACTGACCAAATAAGTGCCGGTGAGGGTATTTGCGTGCATAGCATGCTTCCAACTGGCCTTCCATAAGAAACGGCACCGATGAGCACAACGCCATAAAGTGACATCCCCCAAGATCCCTCTAGTAAATACTAATATCCTCACTGTGCCAATAACAGTGGCGAATGGATCCTAAATAGAGCCGTGGCAAGCCTCCAGAAAAGATATGGATGTATGTGGGAGGAGGTTAGACGTCCCAAACAGCACAAAAAGGCCAAAAGATGTCTTAAAGACATCTAGAGGACTTTAAGACGTCTTTAAGTCGTCTTTTAGATGTATTTCGGACATGTGTTGTCTGGGGTGTCTGTACACCCATTTGATCAACGAGCGACAGAATCCATCCGTACCACGTTAATTTAACCGAAGCTACTTTTTTCATGTAAAATGCGTGAAGCTTTTTTAATTAATATAAAATATAAAAATGTTTTTGTTAATAATTTTACATATATTTAATATTTTTATACATATATATATTTTGAAAAAAATAATTTCAAAAGATTAATTTTACTACTTTTATTAAGAATTGAAAAAATAATAAAGAGATAAAGTTAATATAAATGATAATTAATATTAATTAATTATATTATTAATAATAATATAATTATAATAATATATTTTATGTACAAGGTGTTTGTTAAAGAATGAAGTAAACTGAACAAAAAATTTATTCTTTATCATTTTGCAATTTTTACAATAATTATTGAAATAATAATTAAAAAAGATTGGCAAATAAATGTACATTTTGTGCAATTAGACAATGAAATGTATATTATAGGCGTGGAAACAGTGAGTGAATGGCAGTGAAAAAAGGAACACACGACGAAACTTTATGACACTTACTATTGATATATCTAAAGAATACATCTTATAATCTAGGCGCGTAGAACGCTCGATAATTCCCTAATCCTTTTAAATTAATATTTTGATAATACTGTAAAAATTGCAAAATGATAGAGAATTTTTCTATTCACTTTACTGTGTTTTACCACCCACGAATGTTGATCCAATCTTTATCAAATACCCTATATATACAAGGTATTCGATAACTTTTTACACATCCGAAGTATGAAGGTTGGCTCAAATTATGAAAAAAAGTTCTCTATTGTTTCGCGATAATTAGGAAGAAATTAATTAAAGAAGATCGGCCAATCTGCGTGAGTAGAAACGCGCGACGAGAAAAGCCACCATCCCACTGCAACTTGATACTAAGCGTGCCGCGAAGATGAACGGGGCTTACTCACCAAGTAACGATATTTAAAATTAAATTAATATAATAAAATAAAGATCCATAGGATAAAATCAATAAAATTTCATAAAAGGCTTAAAGGACCAGCGCAATAGTGAAAAGATGCGAAAATAAAAACAGTTATATTAATATAATAACGGTTATATAAACCTAATAAAACGTTTATTTGATTTAAGTGACAAACTCTGCGTTTCGATCCAATTCGGATCCTTTTCAATGTCAAATCACGAAATAACAGTAAAACATGAAAATAAAATAAAATACGATCAAATTAACAGTCATTAGTAATGAGTGACGGAAAGACGCAAAACAAAATAAATAATAATAGAAGAGTCAAAAAAGTCGAAATAAATTAACGCAAAATAACGGGCGAATTCAAACGAACAAAGAAGCGCAACGCGTTGATAAGCAGATAAGCAATCGCGTATTGCAAAATCTCGGTGTGCCATGAGAAAGCAAGCTGCTCCCCTCGATAACACATGCCGAAAGGAAAACCATACAAACAGGTCCACATATATCTCAATAAAAAGCCGTCAAAGATGCATAAGTCGATGACCAGCCGAAAATGCAGTGGGGCCTGATGTGCATTGATTAAAATCTTGATTAGGGTGGCATTCTATAAAAGAGAAAGACAAAAAATAGACTCCCTAATAAATAGCATAGAAAAACACTCCGAAAACTGATACGGGAATCAAATGATCAAAACTTAAGAAT